CAACCCCCAACCTGGAGGGCCAGGAGACTGTGTTCGTCAGACCTCTAACCATTGACCAACCTGGTATGAGAGACTCTGTGAGTGTCGCGGGACACTCTCCAGTATAGCTCAATGGATCGCTGAGGTGCGCAAACCGTCACACCACGGTAAGGTCCAGTCTCTTCGTGACGGTGGCACGGCAGCTAGGCACCGAAAGGGTGCTACAGCTGAAAGATACTAGGCCTTTGACGAGGCACGTCTGCTTGAACATGCTGAAGAACAGTCCTTGTCATACGACTCGTCTCGTCATGTTCCCTGTGGTGCCGCATCTATAGAAACGGATAAACCTTTTACTCCTGTTCGTGATGCACTTATCCCCCAGACTGACTCTAATAACGCGATTGCAAACACATCCTTATCTTGATTCATCTGTGGCAAGCATATTCGTTCAAAATGCCCTGCTCGTGAATCCTTCTGTCATTCCTGCCGCAAGAAAGGTCATTTCCAGGAAGTTTGTCGATCCAAGCCGAGTTCAAGTCATACCACAACGTCGGTGAACCCTGGTGTCTCGTCCAACTTCAACATCTCGACATCCATTGGACTTTACAAATTAATCGTTGATGTTATGGTGAATAATATTCCACTTTATGCTCTTATCGATACCGGTAGCTGCGAAAGTTACATTTCTTCTGATATCACACTGAAGCATGGTTGGACAGTAACATCCTCCAAAAGTGCTATCTCGATGGTTTCAACGAATTTATCTTGTGTAACTAGCGGTCATCTTTATGCTACCGTGCTGTACAAAAGCATGCGATACGGAGGTGTCAAACTCTCGTTCTTGTTCATGTGTAATAAAACCAGACCCCGAACGTTTTCGAGCCCTACGGGACATGTGACATCCGTTCAAAACGAAGATTGATCGGAATGCTGGCATGCCATACACACTGGATCCCATGTCTTTCAGATAAAATTCATCAAATCGTCCGTAATCAGATCTCCCCCAATCCAGATAGCGTACAAGTTGCATTGAATAAACTAAAACACGATTTGAAAAAGACCGTCGTGTACAACATAGACTACGTTCATCCACTCGTTGTGGAAAGTGATGCTTCCGAAACAGCCATAGTGTCCACTCTCAATCAAGACGGGTGCCCAGTATCCTTCTTTTCACGCACTCTGTCACGCAGTGAGCTTCATCATTCAGCAATCGAGAAAAAAGCGTACGCGATTGAGACCCTGTTGATTGTTCAACACTCCCAAATATATCTGCTAAGCAGGGTAGGCCCGGGACACTTGTGAACATAATCCAAACTCTAGATACACACTTCTGGGCGTGTGACAGTGCACGATAAGCACTCTAAAAGTGTTCCTACAAAAAGTGGTATCCGGCGAGGATACCCACTCCCTCCACTGCTGCTCAACTTCGACATTAATTAAAGAAAGAGATGAACACTGAATAGCCTGTAAAATCATGTGTTCAAATGGTTGTTGAAAAGGACCTTACAGTTCTCGCGTACGCCATACAAACGGCATTTACGCTATCTTCAAAAAGTAAACTCACGTATAAACAGTTGGGTAAACTGCCCACCATCAAACCATCTTTCAGCATTGGCCTCGCAGCTACTAAGTGCTTCGGCACGTGCAGTCTTTGGACATATCCCTTGCGATTCATGGAGAAGGATTAAAGGTTGCGGAAAATCCTACATACCTCATTAGTTGTGTTGACTCTGACGGAAGTGCGTCTCATGAATTCAGCGCACGAATCTCAAAGGCCAGAATGGCATCTGCCGATTCGCCACTTGCGGTGCATATATAACTGAGCCACAAGGGCCGTGTGCTCCAGACTTCAGTAAGCGCCGCATTGTTGTATGGTTACAAGACATGGCCTCTGCGAAAAGACACTGTGAAGAGTATTCAGGTTTTTGAGCACAGATGTCTGAGAAGCACAGCTGGTGTCGGATGTCTTCAACGGATTCGTGACGGGGTAATCAGAAAACGGGTATTTGGTTGTGTAGCAGGTACTTTAATATCGGAAAACATCAAGCGCGATCAACTGCCATGGCTCGGTCGTGTGCTACGCAAGCTTAAACACCATCTCCCGAGACAGCTTCGTAGGATGTGAATACCACCGCTTGATGGTGCTGGTTTCCAGCGGAGAAAACAGAATTGAAGCGGCTCGTTAACACTGATGCCCACTCATCGTCAGCTGAGTGATCATCCATGTCCTTCAAAATCAC